TCTTTTCTTCTCAACGTTAAATACCTGAACGTCATGTTCATTTTGTTAATGAGACTACATTATGAAGAGATTAATTTCCTTTTTATTATTTACTTGATATTAGTAGCCTATAAATATATAAATCCAATTTTGTCAAGAAATGGAAGAATTACTATACCGCTCGCTATACCGTTATACTTTTTATAATAATAATTTGATAATTATGTTGTAACTTGTTATGACTATAGATAATGATAACTAACTGAACGTTGAGGTTAGGTTAGAAAAGTCTTTGAAAGTAACTTGTCAGCATTACGCATAATTTAGAAAAAAAGTAATAAGTATCTTGTAACGCATTGATGAGTTACTTTTTCCGTTACAAGTAACGAATGAAAGTAATTAATTGTAAATAAAAAATTACTTTTTCAGTCATGACTATCCTATTTCCAATCTTACAAGTAACACGTATTTTCATTTCCTGAATTTTATATAATACATTAGATATAAAGATAGATTAAATTGTACTGTTACAGATTTAAAAAAAAATCATCTCTAAACTCAAGGAGCTAAGTAGAATAAAAATTCGCATGTTTTATCTTTTTCTTTTCAACCGCATTTTACTTCGAGGTGATTAATCAATTCATTAGTGTGGTAGCAACGAAGTTGCAAAATGGTGAAGCGAACTTTTTCCACTTTTAAGAATGGAAGAAAAGCAATCTAGCTTTTTCTTTAATTCGAATACTGTAATCTCTGTAGCTCTCATTTATTTATATTATTCGCATTCGCGAAACTCACAAAAACAACCGCTCCAACACTCAATTCTCGACCTCCTGGCATAGCTGAAAAAGTTAACGCGATTAAGGGGTGCGCTTTGTTACACAGGAATCCCAAGCTCTCTCTAGCGCGAAGCGATAAATTTTTTAACGGACACTATATCTCTTGTCACACGAGAAATCACCTCGTCCGTATATAGAATTCTACATTTCCGAGACACTCGTTAACTCATATCTCGTCGGACGGGGAAATAGAATAATTCTCATCGATCGGAAGCCGTCTCGAGCCTCTTGAGAGGCTAGCCTCGAGAAGATCTCGTGTGGCTCTGCCCACGTTTTATCCGATAAATCAGAATTGCACACAATCGTTGTTAAAATAAATCGAAACTAGATTAGAATTTTTGCGACGGTCATTTATTTCGACGTAGTTGAGGCTTTATCCTTTTGGTTTAAAAAAAGGGGAGGAATATAAAGAAAATTAAAATCTATTTCTACACTTTCGGAATTTCCCTCCTACTAATCCCTAATGTTAGAAGAGGGAAAATATCCAGCAAGTACAAACTGAGATTGTTTGTCGTTATTTTGACGTCAAATAACGTTAAAGACGTCATTTTGACGTCAAAATAGCGACAAATAACCTCAGCTTGTTTGCTAGGTAACCTATATGTATACAAAGTTTCATTAAAATCAGAATTTTGCAACGATCCCTTACCTCGTAAAAGTAACAGTTTAATGAAACTTTGTGTGTGTGTGTGTGTGTGTGTGTGTGTAGATTAAATAAATAAATTTAGAAAATATCAGTAGAGCCAATAAAGGCTTTGTAAAATCACCTTATATGTAAAACAATTTTTAGCATTTTTCGTACCTATATCTCAAAAACTATTCGCTCAAAAAATGTTTTATGGAAAAGTTTTATAATAAAATGATTTCTATTTATTTACGTCAATTTTTAAAATAAAAACTTTAAAAATATAAATTTTAAAAATAATTATTTTTTAAAAATATTATATACGTAGAGATAGTTTTATTATAAAACCTTTTATACAATGCACACACATGGCTTTATGTCTTGAACGATTTATATCTGAATAATTTTCAAAATACAATGAAAAAAAGCTAATAACTGCTTCATATAAAAGGAATAATTTTGTTTCTTAAAATTTAATTGTTTATTGGCCGCAACTAATATTTTCTGAATTTATCTATTTATGCAATCTATATGTGTTTCAATAAAATCAGAATTTGGCATTTTGCAAAGTTTCTTTGTAAGGCGATAAACCTTTCAATTTCTGAACGATAAAGGCGCGATTCAGCACATCTCTCATGCAAGAGGAACTCAGAAGGTAAAGGGACGTTTGAAGAAAAGGGAAATCATATTGCAGTTCAAAAGAATTCTGTTTTGTGGTCACCTTTCTACATAATTCTATTGACTTCAATACACTCGATCCACCGCTTCGATTTACTTACACAACTCATATAACTCGCGTTCTGTTGCGTTCTTTCAAGCACGAGTTACGCTACTCTTCCTCTATCGAGGACGAATTTGACTGAATTTCTGAATCAAATTCAAAACCGAGATGGCAAAGAACAGTCACGCGAAGTCGAAATAGATATACACTTTGACAAAAAGTTACACATAGATTCAGATATTGGGATCGTTTAAGGAGGTTCTCGCGCTACTTCCTAGTCAATAGACAGTTTATTCATAATAATATGTAAAACAATTAAAATAATGGAATAAAAAGGTTACTAACAACATCTTATGCTATTATACATAATTATTGTTAATTTTATATGTTACTAAATATTTTAAAAATGACAAAATAAAAGTTATAAGATGCTCATTTGATATACACATTCGTTCATTTGACATATATTCTAGCTTTCTCTTCATTAAAGAATATAAATTTCTTGTAAACTGTACGGTCAGTTTAAATGAAACTTTACGAGAACAAACTTAAGTGTTTACTTTATAATTGTAACGATTTTTAAATTGCTGTCTTATACGCAAGTGTCTCAATTTAAAAGAGAATAAGGTTATACCTTCAACTTGTAACGTAAAATTCTATAAATTTATAATTAAATATCATCAAAATGATACGGTAAAAGTCAATGAAATT